TGTAGCTTAAAAAATGGTAAAGCTATGGGGTGCCTGGGTAGCTCAATCGGTTAAGTGTCTGCCTTAGGCTCAGGTCCCAATCCCAGCCCGGAGTCTGCTTCTTCCTCTCCCTCCTCCCCACCCCCAACCACACACATGCTCGACTTCTCTCTAAGGCTTTAACAAAATGGTAAAGCTATAGTAAACAATTACATTTATGTCACAATTTAAATAACTCCCCTGATTTTCTAGAAAATATTCACTTGGGCCTCACCTCTGTTATTCCAAGAACACTCACCGTGCAGTCTGCTTTGGAGGAAAACCTACCAAGATTAAAGACTTCTGTTTTTTTGCTGGTCATTAGTACTGAGCAAAGTCTATTATGCTTATCTACAACCTGTAATCAGCTATGTGGTTTATTATGTGAGTGACAAGCCATCCAGTTACACTAAACTATGAACTATATGAAGGGCAAGTTCAGTTCACAAAGGAGACTCTTGATTTTTTTAAAAATTAAAAAATTTACATTTTTTGTGACTTTAAATTTTGAAATTATTTAGACACAACATAAGCAAAATGGGTTATAAAAATGATGGCCTGCATCAGCACCATCAGGATTTAATGAGATACATAAATATCAAGTCTCATTTTCATCAAAGTTTGAGAAGCAATTGAAAATTTTAAAGTAAGTATCTACAATGGCTAAATGTGTATACACAAAAATTTTCAAAGAAAATGGATAGTAAACTCCCCCAAAAGACTGTAAGTTCCCAGAAGGGCCGTGTTTTCCAAATATATATATTTCACATATTTCCAAATATATATGTGTGTGTATATATATAGAGAGAGAGAGAAAGAGAGATCCATTCACAATAGACTCTTAATTTTTTTTTTATGACTAGAAGAACTACATATATGTATATAATTCCTCTTCCTTCTTCCCATGTTTTATATTTTCAATAGTCTGTAGTCTGTCCCAAGGCTGTGCTGTTTGGATAAATAAGTGCACGGAGTGAATGAAATGAAACATGTAACTTTTAAACTTTGGTTTTATACAAGGTCAACTCTCCTACATTTTAAAGGGCACCTAAATCGAGGTACACATGTCCACGAACCGTAACGGTGCCCTACAGCATAGAGCAGTGATTTATTTTGATAACGTACTTCTTACATAATACCAGACATTGAATTAACTTGTCCAGCCAGAAAGATATTTGTCTCTCTATTCAAAGCCGCAATCATTGTAAATACAATTGTAGACCTTGTGAATGTAACAATATGAACAATCCCTAAACACAGTCATTCACAGGCACCTTATTCTGCAGTACTGAAGAGAAACATATGATTGACAAATACTTATGGGGGCATGTTAAAAATTTTCACTGACCTGGTTCTTTTTAAGTTGAGGTTTATATGTTAACTAATAAATTTGAGTTCAAAAAGCTAGATAACTTTATGTCTTAAAATGAAAGACACTGATTTATAAAGAAAAATTATGTGTATTATATACAGACTGTCATGTAATAGGTAAAGAACTCCTGAGAACTCTAGAAAAACTTTCTAAGGAAACTGGAAAACAATTAGGTAAAATGTCAGTCTTTAAATGGACACATTCAAGCCTAAGTATGAGGAAGCCGAGATATTGGAGGTGTGTGTGTCAGAGAGTGAGATAGGAAGGCTCTAGAAAAAACAGAAAGTACAACAGAAACCAAGAGGCCATTCTTCTATAAAAGGGAAGTTAAAACAATTGGAAGAAAGCAGAAGGCATGTTTGATAAAGTATAGAAAGAACACAACAACAGTAACAGTTTCTAAGGCATACCTTCTGGTCCTTGGGTGGTTTTCAAATGGGTCTCTGTCTGGATACAGCCAGGTGGGTGGGGATTTAGACCTGAGCCTTTAAAGCTCCACCCATCTGCCCTTGGAGCCTCCCTGCCCCTGGAAACTTCGCCCTTTCGTCTTCCAGGTTCTGGCCTCTTGCCTCAGTGACAGTGGGCACATTCCCCTGGGACACGGAGGGAAGAGACACTAGAGAGAGACAGTCTGCAATGCACAGAGGGTAGGACTATCCAAATAGCAACCATACAGTTTCGAATGATGAGCTCTAGGATTCCAGACGGATTATGTAAACACCAATGTATTTAAGTATACTCAAGGTATAGTTAAATCTATCATGTTTGTATGATTAAGCAGAAACCCGCCAGAGTTTTAATCATTAAAAAATCAACAGCAAACAATTTACAGAATCTTTATTGTAAAGAGAGATCATTAATAGTTATTACAAACTGAATTAACTGAAACTCAGGTTAGCAATCCAAAACAGTTAGAGGCTTATTTTTATATGGCATAATTTGTAGTCTTTGCCCCCTCAACACTTTTTAAAAGACTACTAAAAATATCAGCATTTCAATGGTCTCTTTTTCGTCAAGTTAAGCACCATAACGTTCTTATCCTCTTTAAAAAAAATTCTTTCAAAGCTAGGTAGAACTTCCACCGTCCATCATTAGAGCTATCACACAAAATTTATTTCATTTTTGTCATAACACACAAAGAATACAAATAAGGATATATTTAAATCTTGCAGACCATATATAGACAGTCCCCCCCTTGTGTTGTTTTGCATTTTCCTAGCTGCCTGTTGGATGGTTTCTGAAATACTTTGCTTTTTATTTCATTTGTCTCCCTCGTTATTGCGACCTCTCTCTGAAGTGATGCGGTTATTTACACAAGCAAGAATCTACCCCCCTCTCCTGGGAGCCTGTCTTTGTCTATCTACTTTCCCCGAGTCTGCTTCTTGTCCTATCAGTGCTCAAGGCAGGGGTTGAACAACCAGCAGAAAAAGGCAAAGTTAACATTTCGGGTTTTGAAAAATACCATCTGGTGGTGAGAACGAGGAGCTGAAGTTTTACCATTATGCAAAGTAGATCGCAAGTGAAATAGACGGTTTGTTCCTGATCTCGTTTCCCGTGAGTTTTCCAGGTCTACATCTCAATGAAAAGGCAAAGGCTACCTGCAAAGTGTCCTAAAATACTGTACCTGTTACCTTTACAGTCCTATAAAAACATCAAAATATCCTCTCATGTTAAAAGCACTTAATGGAGATGTATCAAAAACACAAGTATTTCTCAAAGAGGAGTAAAAATAGATTGCTTCGTGAATTATACTCAATAAATAATACTTTGTAGCGTAGTGTTTTGTGGTTTTTGCAAAAATATTTAGACTTTCCAAGCAAATCTAAATAGGACAAGAATGTGAAATTAAAAATAGACTATGTGTCTGAATGAAAATTCCAGCGGATTTTTCTGAACATCATTCAAATATGAAATGACACTGCATATATTCAAATAAGTTCTGACTATCACAACAATTAATAACACTCAGAGGTCAGAAAGTTCACTTCTTGGGTGATGGGCATTAAGGAGGGCACGTGAGGTGATGAGCACTGGGTGTCGTACATCACTGATAACTTACTGGACGCTGCATCTGAAACTAATGTACTATAAATTGGCTAACTGGATTTAAATAAAAAAAAATAAAGTTCACTTTCCCCCTTCATTTAAAAACTGCACTTAGTATTACATAGTAAGCTCATCTCCTTCAGTACACTTTAATGACTGCTCGTAATCTCTAAGGCATCTGGTTGCTCTATCAGAGAGAACTGTGCATAGGCTGAATGCAGATCCATTTTTGTATCGATTTTCTTATCTACACAGTTCAAAGTGACCACGGCAGAATACTGTTAGACTTGAACGCAGAGTGGGGCTTATGATTTATCTCTACTGCTTATTTTACAGCAAACTATTTTGAAAACTTGGCCCCTGATGCTCTGTGTGTGATTAATAATACCAGAGAGTTCCTTTTAAGTCAATTATAAAATACATTAAAAATCAACCGGCTTTCAGGGTTGTAAATCATGACAATGGGATTGTCATGATTTGGGATTGGGATATGAGGAGCAGAGATCAGTTCTCATACTTACTCCAAAGCTACTTAAAGACGAATTTTCTCTATCAGCACCCTTCACACCATGCTGCCCAACTTTGTTCAGGCCCAGCGCACACTGCAACGGGTGCTCCTTGAATGGCGCAGTGGGGCGGACTTGCCTGGGGCCACGGCCTCCTGCTTTGCGCTGCGTTGCCCTGAGGCCTGAGGGTCTAAATATCTTAGTGACCCTTTTACCCAATTCAGGTACCCCCAAGGGCCAAGGCCCATCAGTTAGGAAACCGCAGCAGCCTACAGCTAGGCTAACTGGACTTCTCTATCACATAATATTTTGGATTGGCACAAGCTAGTTTAAAATCTGATAGCAGTTGGCCAATTTTTTTTGACATGAGATTGATTTTTAATTTTTTAAACTAGAGTAAGCATGGCTGTTTTATTTGATCCTTACCTGCTTAGGTGAGTCTGAATTTGTCTCTGTCCATTTTTAAATATTAAGACTTCAGTGCAGATAGTGAAAAGGACACAGTATTTGGAAGTAGGTACATTTCAGGTTTGAATCACATGTGAGCTCCAGTCCCAACGCGGGCAGTTATTATACTGTGTGACACAAGGTAAGTCTCTTAACTCCTCTGATCCTCAGTTTCCTAAGGGGAAAACCTGGGATAATAACCTCTACATCCAGAGCTGTGGTGAATCAGTGATGTTACAGACGCAGTGCCTGGGACAGTGGCTAGAATGAGTCATGTGAATGACAGCTGTCATCAGGATCTAACAAAGCTGGTGTTTCAATTTCTACCACATTGTGAACATTTCATACTCATCAATATTTAGCAAGTAAATATTCTATTACAGATTATTTTCATCCTAGTGCAAAACTAAGAAACCATAGTTTCTTACCAATCACATATGCGACGTTCTTTAATGATTTCACTTGCATTGAGAACACAGCTGAAAATTAATGCACTAAAAATCTGAGACCATTCTCTTAGAAGCCAAAAGACAGAGCATGTAACATTTACTAACGGTGCCTTAATGGGTGTATCCCCATTTACCAAATGTACTTACAGGGAGTAAAAATGGTTGCTTCAGCCCTTTATCCTTTAGATAAGGAACAGTGGGATTTTAAAAATCCTTCTTTAAAAATGAATTTTGCTTGTATTCACTTCTGATAATTACTTTAGAACTGTAATTTGAAGATCAGTGCAACTTAATGAAATGTATTCAAATTTAAGCTGAGAATCTTTTAAATATGGAGATTATTACATAATAGGTACGGTAGTGCTCTGTAGGTGAGAGTTATCGCAAACTCTCTAAAAACATGACTTGCATGCACACTCTTAAAAAAAGTCACAATATGAACACGCAGGTGACCTCTCGGGTTCTTCTAGTGAGTGTTTCCACAGGGATTGTCTGAGATCTGGCAGCCCATGTTCTGACCCGTCACTTGTACTTTGAAGAGCGTCCCATCCGCACACATACACAGCTTGTAGCGCACCCAGTTGCCCGTCCCAAACTGGTCTCCGCTGGAGGAACTAGGTAGGCGATTTGTGCTAACCATCACAGTTCCGTTTAGGATGATGCTGTTTTCCTATCAGGAGAATAATAACATGATTTATTTACCTCCACAAATGGAGATAGAACAAAATTAATAAACAAAACTTAGAATAGTAACCAGGAAAATAAGTGGTAAAAAAAACAGTAAAGTCATGACCAAAACAACAACAGGGAAAACAAAACCAATGTCACGATTCAACTAGTGACCTCTTTAGTGTGCATCAATACAGTTATAACACCCTCTATTAAAATTATATAAAAATTCCTAAATGTGGGGGGGAAAAAATATATGTTTATAAAAAATAAAATTAAAAAAAAAATTCCTAAGTGCGTAAGACTGATACAGGTCATTTTCAATTGTTACTTCTTAAGAGAGTTTTTACAAAATTACTGACTGGTATGTTTCTGATGATGAGAAGAAAAACACTGTTTTTCTCCTATAGAAAAATTAATTTTAATTTCTAATGTTTTTGTACACCACAAATCAAGATTCAAACCAGATAATTTTGAAGACTGGGCACTCAAAGAAAACTGCCTTGAGGTTCTCTTCTCCATGCGTACTGTTTCAGGAACATACTTGTACTGTAGCCCCTTTATTTTTGGGAACTCCTAAGCCTGCCTCTCTCTTCTTTCCTCCTTCTTTCTTTTTTTCTTTTCATTCAATCAACAAATAATTATTCAGTGTCTACTATGTATTAGATACTATTCTAGGTGCTGAGGATCCAGCAATTAACAGAGAGCTAAGTCCAAGCTCTCATACAGCTGACGTTTTAATGGGGAGTAGCAGAAAATAAACAGGTGAACAGGTAAAATAAATATAACATCACTGGGAAAAAAAGGTAAGCAGAGAGAGTGACCAGGCAGGGGCTCTATTTACACAGGCTGGTCAGGGAAGGCCTCTCTGATGTGGTCACAGTGTGGCAGAAACCAGATGATACGAGTAAGCCATGTGGGCAACCGGGGAAGGGCCCTTCAGGCAGAGGACCCAGTATGTGCCAAGGCCCCAGTGTGAAGATGTGCTAGGTGTTCAAGGAAGGGGTGGAAGCCAGTGTGGCTAAAGCAGAGAGCACAAGGGAGTCGACTAGTAGGAAATGAGTCAAAGAAATAACTCGGGCCGGACATGTTGGGGAACGGAATGGACTTTGAGTTTTATCCCCAGTTAGGTGAGAAGCCATTTGGAGAGGTCTGAATGTGGAAGTGATGTGATCTCTGAGACAGGATCACTCTGGCTGCTGCACAGAGAACTGACTACAGGGGTGAATGAGAGAGCAGCCAGACCATTTAGGAAGCCATTCCAACAGTGTGGCGGGATGCGGTGGTTTATAACATCGGTGGTGGTGGTGGTGGAGGCAATGAGAAGCAGTCAGACTCTATTTTTTAAGGCTTTGCTGATGGACTGATGGGCACCATTTAACAAGATGGGAACACTGAAAGAAAGGCATGTTTGGGGAGAGAGAGAGGGTATGAAGATTTTAGACTTGTTGAATTGGAGATGCCTATTACGCACTGGAGTGGAGAAGAACTCAGCTGAGTATGTGAGTCTTAGTTCAGAGAAGAGATTAAAGCAGGAGTTCCAAATTGGAGAGTCACTGGGTTATAGAAGGCATTCAAAGCAATGAGACAAAGTTGGGTTTGAAGAAATGTTAACAGCTAACTGACTATGTAGTGTCGGTATGCATATGAAATAAACAGAGTCCTTGTGATGAATTTTGAAATTTTGTTTCAATGCTGCCATCTTGTGGTCATTTAATTTTACTTTCTTTAAATTGCTAGAGCAGTTATTTCTTTAAATGCAGTTTAATTGATAAAATTCTTACTTTATAAAAAAAAATTCTTATAATTAGCTATACATTTAAAAACTAACCACTGATATTAACTGGATTATAAAGCTAATTATCTTTTCAGTACTGGTGCCTTGTTTTTCTTTAATTGTGGAGAAATGGTATATATGTATATGTATTTCAAAGTATCTTAATATTTCCCATATCAACAACAGGCAGAATTTTCAAGTAGGAAAAAAAAAGATTTAAGTAACTTGCTAATGGCTATATGCCAGCTATTACACCTCTTGCTTCTTTGAGTTTCCAGTGCTGAGAAAAATAGCCCCACTGTGATGGTTCCTCAACACCATGCTCTTAGAGGAATGGCTTCTTACTACAATAGAGACGAAACATACTCAGTATTGCTATTGAGTTTCTGGCAAGAAACACATTAGTGTTTATCTTTGTTATTTAGAAATTGTAATATGTGTTTTAGAGGAGAACGCTATTTATGAAAATGGAAAACTCAATTTTTAAAGCTTACTTTTTCTAAGTTAAATTTAAATAAAAGGAAATAATTATTTCATTTTTATAAGTCCTTAGGATTAATTTTATTTCTGTCATATATGATGCTTGGTAAAATAATTTAATTAGCTTTAGTTAAGTAGCACATAGCTGGTGGCCAAGGACGTTTTGAATAAATATGCTTTGATCAAAACTAAGCAGGTAAACAGTTTTTGGATTTCCGGCTCCCTTACATGAGATACGTTACCTACTGAAGTTCAGATATAATCTGTGAAGGATAAAACTTCACTTTTCGGGGCGCCTGGGTGGCTCAGTGGGTTAAAGCCTCTGCCTTCGGCTCAGGTCGTGATCCCAGGGTCCTGGGATCGAGCCCCGCATTGGGCTCTCTGCTCAGCGAGGAGCCTGCTTCCTCCTTTCTCTCTGCCTGCCTCTCTGCCTACTTGTGATCTCTGTCTGTCAAATAAATAAATAAATAAAATCTTTAAAAAAAAAAACACACAACTTCACTTTTTAATAGCTATAATAAAGGCAAAATCTTTTCCCTTTGCAGTTAATAATAGATGGGTAAATAAAATATGTTTTGTACATTTGCTAATTGATTTTCACATCGCTGGATATAAAACTTGGGAAAGGGCATGAAAAATCTTTAATTAAAAAAAAACCCAACATGGGGTTATGGACATGGGGGAGGGTATGTGCTATGGTGAGTGCTGTGAAGTGTGTAAGCCTGGCGATTCACAGACCTGTACCCCTGGGGAATAATATGTTATATGTTAATAAAAAAATAAGAAATTGTACATATAAAAAAAAGCCAAAACCCAACAACTTCAGGGAATGGATAATTACTTTGATAATTCTTACTTTGAGAATTCTTCCAGAATTTTGGAAGTTTATTTATTTTTGCCTTTTAAAATAATACAGGTAACATGTTGTAAAAAATTTTTTTAGAAAACAAGAGGCAAGCAGAATGAAAAATAAAATTAAAGTCATCTGTTATCCTGCTACCCATAGTCAACCATTGTTGACTTCTGGCATACCCTTCTAGGTTTTTATGAACGTACATATGTTTTGAAAAATAAAAATGAGACATTTCACAAACTGTAACTGTCTTTCACTTCAGAGTCCATTTTGAACATCTCCCCATGTCAAAAAATATACAACTGCATTACCATTTTAAATAATTGTATACTGTTCCACATATAGATTTATATGCCCAAGAATCTACTAATTCTCTAAAACTCTTAAGAAATACTCACTGCCTTTAACTCCATATTACCGCCCATGTGAAATTCAATGGTTTTGCCCATAATGAATACACCTTCATTTCCACGCACGATAGCACGCCCGTCAACTTTTATATTTAAGTCACTAGTAGCATTGCTGGTAATCTGAAAATTACAAAAAAAAAAGTAATAAAAGGCATTTCTAAATTAAAGTGAGAATTATTATCAGAGACAGAGGAATAGGAGTTTCACCCATGGAATATGAAAGGCAAGAATTTTCAGTCACGTTTTATAGGGTTGAGATGAAGAGACGTGACTTGATAATGATCAGATGACAAATCTAGAACTAACTAGTCCTTCCCACTGTTCCAGAACTTATTCTTTCCCATCACTATAAAGCAGCAAAACTCCCCTCCTGCTTTGTAACTTTAGACAGTAATTCTCTTCCATTAATAAAGCAAACAAAAGAAATCATACCCTTTCGGTAGATGCTTTTTGAACATTCAAACTTTTCACTCCACTTGGCAAATGAAACTCATGAGTTTCATAGTCTGTGCTGAACAAGATATTCTGTGTCCTCGGGTCAAAAAACTGCATGCCAATGTCACTGGTGATAGAAGTTTTGTTCTTTTCGACACTGAGCTTTGTTGTCCCTTGCTGGAAAACAATCTACAGAGAAACACTTTACCATGAATATGTTTTCAAAGGAGGCTGCATCCAAAATTCATCAAGAACATTATTAAAAACACTTTACAAGAGACTAACTTCCAATAATTTGAACGGCATCTCTCTATCCACTTGGGAAAAGAGTTCCTTAAAATGAGGATTTATACGCTTGTTTGGTTGTACTACGCTGCACAAATCCATGGGTCATAGGGCAGACAGACGGACCCAGACCCAAGGTGGGCAGGGGTGCTAAGAATACCTCCTTGAAGTTCTGGTCCACTGAAAACCTGTGTTAAGCAGCCACCTGCATGGCTGCCACTGATTCCATTGGCATATTCCCCTCTAGACTCCCAGAAAGTACAGGGAATTCCAACCTGGGAAGGTGCTCTGTTTGCAGGTTACCTTGCGTGGAGGAGAAAGAACACGCTATTCTTAGAGTCATTAATCTATTACAGAAAATGCTGCCATATTAAGACATTAAGAAAGCATGTAATATTTACAGATTACAAGACCAACAATATTATTAAATACGCTTATGAATATTCTCTCGAGGAAAATATCCATTTCCAATAATCCACTCTAGGTTTTTACAAAGAATTTTCCTCTAATGTCCCTCGACTGATGTGGGAACTTACAGGCTGGTTGTTGCCAGTGATAACCAAGTTTTCATTTCGCCTTCCTCCTACTGTGCTCTTATAAAGAGGATGTATAACTCCCATGTCAGATACTTGCTTAAACCGGAGCAGGCCGCTTTCATGAAACTCCATGCTGTCACAGCCATTTGGCCCGATGCGAATCACAGCCCAGATAACAAGTGTTATCTACAAGAGAAAACAAGCCCCCTGTTAATTGGTAGGACACATTTAACATAATTAGAAAACAAACAGAAAAGACAACTGCCAAAGGATTAAACTTCCTAAGATGTCTCACCAGTGACAACACATCACCTGGTTTTCCACTTGAAAATTAAACCCATTTCAATTTGATCAAGGTATTACAGGCAAATAGCTAAAAGTCAAAGTGCTAGAAGAGCAGTTTCTTACTTTTTCTGCTTCCTCCACATCTTGTCCGGTGACAGCCGCTTTCAAACAATTTTAGGTATTTCATCTCGAATTTTTCCAGATTTTTAAGTGATGTGAGTATATTATTTCTTCACTCATCAATCTAAGGTTTTACCTATTAATTTCTTACTTTAGCAGATGAGAATTTATCTCATTTATATTTCTTCTCCACTGGCTCCCGTCTCGAATGCTAGCTAGACCCAGCTTCAGTATTTTTAGTACTGCAACTGTATAAGTACTGTTCATTGCTAAGCCAAATACCGTAACTAAGAGAGCAGTTCCTTTTTCGTATTCTGCGTCTCCTGGAGTTTCATACTTGTCTTTCTTCGGCACTGGACCACATTTGCTTAGTTTCTTTGAAAACCCGACTGAAAATTTTCAAAACCTCCGAAGTCTTTATAAAAGGTTCTCAAAGTCCAAACCTCTCAGATAATCTATTCTAGGAGTTCTATTTTTCTGTCTCAGGAAAGCTTGCTGGAACTCTGAGCTTGCTCCAATCTGGACTGTCCCCCTAGGTCTGCGATGACACAGCTGTCACCTCAAACTTTTCCTTCACTTTCGTGCTGGAACTTGTCTATCTCTCTACCGCGCTGGATACCCAGTTTCCTGCATCCCTGCCTTCAGTTTTCTGGGAGTTAGTGCCTTCTGGCAGTGAGCTCCTCCTTAGAAAGAATGTATGTGGGCACCTGGGTGGCTCAGTCTGTTGACCCACTGCCTTCCGCTCAGGTCATGATCCTGAAGGCCCACGTGGGGCTCCCAGCTCTGCAGGGAGTCTGCTTCTCCCTCTGACCTTCTCCACACCCTCATGCTCTGTTTCTCAAATGAATAAATAAAATCTTTAAAAAAAAGAAAGAATGTACGTGAAGGAAATTTTGAGTGTGTGCACGGTTAAAAAACGTCTCTATAAGCCCTCACATTTGCTTACTAGTCTAGCTTGATAGACATTCTAGGGTTGGTGCTATTTTCCCTCCGAATTTTGAAGGCCCTTGCTGTCTTGCTGTCTGGTTTGCAGGGCTGCATTTGAGAGGTCTGACATCTCTGATTTTGTGTTCTTCATACATAACCTGCTTTTATTTCTCCTCTGGAAGATTTTAGGATCTTCTCTTTATCCCTGGTTTTCTTAAATTTCAGTCATGGCCTTGGTGTGAGTCTTTTATGCATGACATTGGACCTAGAATGGTAGTTTTCAATCTGTTCTAGGAAATTTTCTTGATTTACATGTTTGATAACTTTCTCCCCAGTGTTCCTTCTTATCTTTTTCTGAAACTCCTATTAACAGAATGTTACACTTCCTGGATTCTTTAATTTTATTGAGCTTTCTAGAAGGGCTCTTCTTTATCTTCCAATCTCTCTGTCTATCCATCCATCCATCCATCCATCCATCCATCCATCCATCTATCCCTATGTATTTCTGCAAGTTCTTCCTTATTCTTTAATAGCTCCTTCTTTTTTTTTTTAAGATTTTATTTATTTATTTGACAGACAGAGATCACAAGCAGGCAGAGAGGCAGGCAGAGAGAGAGGAGGAAGCAGGCTCCCTGCTGAGCAGAGAGCCTGATGCGGGGCTCGATCCCAGGACCCTGAGATCATGACCTGAGCCAAAGGCAGCGGCTTAACCCACTGAGCCACCCAGGCGCCCCTTTAATAGCTCCTTCTTAATGGCATGTTATCCTTGTTTTGTGGATGTAGTATCCTCTCTTTTCTCTGAAGATATTGGTGTTAAGTTTTCTGTCATTCATTGTATTTTTCTCTATCTCCTTGAATTCCTATTTTCCTCATGGTTTGTTTGTTTTTGGTCTCCATCATTTTTCAAGTCTGGGAGCTTTCCCAAGAGATCCATGGATCCCTAGTGGCTCAGTGTTCATATTGAACAGTGAAGTTTAAAAAAGTGCACAGAAAGTTCTCTGTGTGGGGTGGGGCTTGTGACAGACAGGCTTCACAGTAGGAGATGAGGTGGCTTTTCCACTGGGGCCTGCCAGGTGTCAGTATCTACAGGTTTTTCCTCCAGATGCTTCAGTTTCCCCAGAGCAGGCTACTTCATCTCCTGCCTGAGGGACATCCCCCTGGGACCAGGGAGCTAGAGAAAGAGACTGAGAATAGAGCTAGAGAGCTGGGAAACAGAGACTCAGCACTCAGGATTCAGACCTGCCTACTTCCAGCATCCCTCCCCTCCTCAGGCAGGAAGAATCCTCTCCCTTCCATGACATGCTGTGTGGGGTTACAAGGCAAGGTTGCCTAACTGCTGGCTGGAAGGCAGAGGAAGGCTAGGGATCTCTGACTGCTTCTACAAGGTTCTCGAAAAGCTGTTTTCCATTCCTGCCTCACTCCTGCTTTTCACGGTACTTGTATTTCCAATTCCTGATGATTGTGCAAGGCACTGTCACCAACACAAAGGAACAGGTTCCCTTCTCTGGTAAGTGAACTGCCATTTCTCCTCCTGCTTTTTTGTCTTCATACATTATGGTTTAGGATTTCGGTTGCCTCCCACATTCTTTCAAGGTATTTCTGTTTCTTGACATTGTTACCTTGCGATCAGCTTTTTAAAGAGGAAGGGGATAAAAATATCTTCATTCTTCCATCTTAACCAGAAGTTTCCAACAACAAAAAAAATGTATAAAATAAAATAAATTCAGAACACGTGCTCCTAGAAAAGCTATTTACAGTACCAGCTCTTTCCAATGTACGGGAAGAATGAGACACAAAGGTTTGGGAGGAACATAAAGTATAAAGGACTGGCTTAAAAGTATTAGTAGCCAAAAATAAAAATAAATGGAATTTCTTTAGATCCACTGTGGCCCATGTTCATCCGTCACAGGTAGACCAATAACGACCCTCGGCATATGTCATCTACACAAATGCCAGAGGGGTTCAAGTTTAACCCTCAGGTAGTTACAACCTTGGATTAAGTCTTCTTCTTTAGAAAAGCAAGTATCTTTGGAAAAGGCAACATACTAGGTCTTCAGCACCTTAGAGTAAACTGGCCTACCAGATCCTTCCAGTCTATAACAACATAGACAACACTACAAAAGATAACTCTCTGCTATCAAACAAGGGTTTACGATTTTAAAATCTGGTTGAGGAGGTAATACTAAATTTAGGGAAAGCTGAATGAGAACAGAAAGGATTATATTATTTCTAGGAGAGGTGAAGGCAGTCAAGTGTCTCCTACCCAGCTGACTTTACCCTTCCAAAAGCTAAGTCCTTTAAAGGGAATGTTCCATGCACATATTCTTCTAAACAAAATTAACATGTGGTGATACTAGCATAGTAGGTTTTTAAAAATAAATATTTATGGCAACTCAGTAAGAAGAGGTACAGACTTATAAGTCACAGAGATGCAAAGCACAGCATAGGGAATACAGTCAGTAACACTGTAATAACACTATTTGGTGACAGGTGGTGACTACGCTTACAGTGAGCCCTGAGTACTATATAGAACTGTCCAATCCCTTATGCTATCCACCTGCAACTAAGAATAACAATGTATCTTAGCTACACTTTAATAATAAATTTAAAAAAAGGCCAGTGGGTCTTTTCTATGTGTGTAAAAGATGGACTCTCCTGTTTCAAAAACATTTGATAAAAGGCACTGTTGCTTGTGAAGTGAGGAAGACAGGATTCTGTTAGACAATATTTGGAGAGTAAGCAAGTCAGGGGCTCTTTGCACACGCTGTGAAGGGGTAACTCTGCATCTAAGAAAAACTTAAAGTGAGAAAACATGTATTGAAAAGCAGAAGGTAAGAGGGTTTTGAAAGAAATTATAGAAACAAAGTCCATGATTTCACTAAAAAATTCCCCATGGTAATTAAAAAAAGAAAATTCTGTACCACATACTTACAATTAAGTTGATGACAGCCAGGATAAACAACAGGATAATGACACAGACGGCTAAATTGCCCTTTCTCCCCCTCAATCCCGTTTTATGGAGGCGATCTTCATCGATCGGAATATATCCCGCCTTGAAATTACTATTATGCTCCTTATTGACATTCCTTCTCTCGACAGCCTTCTCCCGCATGGACTTCTTTACAGGACCGTTGGAACTTTGCTAAAAACAAAATGCAACACAGTGGAACAGCATCTTTTCAATGCATTTATTTATGAAGTGCAAATTCCTAATGAAAGAAAGCCAAACTGCTGAACTGCTGAATCATATATTTTCCACGGATAAACTTGAAGTCATGTTGAGCTGTAGGCTCCAAGTCAGGACGTTATTATGCTTAGAGGGGTAGTGGAGAACCTTTAGTGTGACTCTTGATAACATATTTCTACCCTCTGCTTTGAACATTTCCAGTGTACCTGAAGTGTAAAGCTAGCTCATCTGGGGTAAGAATTGACATATATATTCCATATGGTTCATCTTTTTTTTTTATTAATGATTTATAGTGATTTGTTTCATTATATATATATTTATTTCATTTGTAAGAAAAAAAATTTGGAAAAGCTGACACTCTTCGCTATTTATCACCCCAATTGGCTAAAGCTAACATTATCTTCTATCAGCAGTTTTCAAAGTATAGGCAAGGGAGACCAGGAGAAGCTCCCTGAACTCTTTACAGAAGCCTGGAGAGTAAAAACTGTGTTCAAAATAATACCAAGATGTTATTTACCTTTTTTACTCTTCTTCTCTCATGAATGTTCAGTGGAGTTTTGCAGAGGCTAAATGACTGTATGTGATATCAATGCTCTAACAGCTAATGGAATGTGTGCTTGTGTATTCCTGTGTTTCAAATTTTCTCTGGTTTAATTTTTAATATGGTAAATATCAATGACTCTAACTCACATAAATAAAAGTTCTTTGGGTTTCTCAGTAACTTTTAAGAGCATAAAAATAACCCGAGACCAGAAAGTTTGAGGACCTCTAACTTAGACTATGGTTGAATGGTATTTTTGGTAATATGTCATGAATGCAAAATGGATAGAAATGGATACTGCCCAACTTACATATATTTTAGAGCTCTGAGAAAACTTACTTATTGAATAGGCACTTATGAAATATTTTATGCTTAAACACTAATACCACAAATAGGAATACTAAAGAAATATAGGACAGGACCCTTATTCTCTAGATATCACAAATGTGATGTGGGTATAAAATAGTTAGCAACACAATAAAGTAATCTGTATGTTCAGATGCCAGTATGGCCAATTCAGGCCATGGAGTCCAACCGGAGGAGACACAGGATGGCTTTGCATTTGTTTTCCGGGAAATAGGAAGTAGGTGGGTCAGAGCGGGCAACACAGGGAGAATACAGTGGCAAAGTACAGCAGGTGGAGAAAATTCTTAGACTGCTGGGTACAAATCCTAGTCTTTCTGTTTAACTGGGAGTCCCTGGAGGTTCCTGGACACGAATGACATACATTTCAAGATGCTGAATGTGTGGGTGTTTGTAGGAGAGAGAGGTAACAGGACTATCAGTGAGCAGGCTGCTGGGGATGTTGTCATAATGGAGGTTTGAAGTAATGAGGTAATGAGGGCCTAAACTAACGTGGGATGAAAAAGGAAAGATTAAAAACGTACTTCGTGAGAGGAGCTGCCTGAATTTGCAGCCAGCTTCAAAGAGTCTCATGTTTACTGAATGGTGACTAGCTAAATATGGGGAATGGAGGAGGCAGAAGATTCTGCATATGTCGCCCTTAAACTAAATGAGAAATAACCACATGGCTCAAAGGCGAGGGGAAGGACGGAATGGGGTATTAGATCAGTTAGGACTAGAGATACAGATCTGAGAGCTTAGCCCCGAGGTAAATTAAATGTACTGTGAAAAATAGCATACAAGAAAGAGAAGAACGGACCAAGGACACAGTCTTGGGAAAATTTAAATGTGCAGCTATGGTGGAAAATGAGAAATACAATGAAGGGTAGGAAAACCAAGGATAGTAGTGTTGCTGAACCTGCTTTGTCAAGAAGTGCTTCAACCTTCAAAGATGAACTCTGGGAAGCAAACTAGTAAGCTGGGCACAGTCTAAAAAGATATCACATGTATGCATCTACTTTCCAGTCTAGAAAGAGAAGACAAGAAAAAAGAGAAGACTATAGCTAAAGAATTATGTACTATCAGAGGAATACTGTGTTTTTGTGGTTGCTGTTAGTAAGTAACCACCTCCCCTCCCCCTGCCCCCCGCCAATTTGGGGTAAGAGTTGTATGTTTGATGGCAGAGGGAAAGATGCCAAGCGGGGCAAAGATGGAAGATCTCACAGTAGGGCAGGATAATGTAGGAAATGAGACCCTCCAGGAGGCAGGAAAGAAAGTGATATGAGTACATGAGAAAAGACTAGGCTTTCAGTATAGGCTTCCCACTTCAATGAAACAGTTCACACCCAGGAGAGAAAACCTTCTTTTTCTTTGGGATGTGAAAGCTAAGGTCATCTGCTAAGAAAGAGTGGAGAAGGCTACTGGAATCTTACTGTGGTGGCACAGGTAGCAGGCTGGTTAGGGGTTTATGGAAAATAGAAAATGACAGAACTAACCATTGTGAATAATGCAGCGGATACAATTTTTGTAATTCCACAAAGCAGTAAGGAAGCCTCTATAGAAGATAATTCAGTCTACTCACCAGATTTTTTTCACAAAACAGGTTGTTGAGTATTGTGTAGGTTGTGTGTCTGCGTGAGGGTACACTCATGCTGCTGACATCTTAGAGTGGAGTGTGCACTTTGAGACTTTTTGCAAGAAGGCATAGAATACCTTAAGGGAGATATGCTTTCCTCTAATTGTCACAGACATGGTATGGGCAATTTAAAAGTCGGAGCTTGAATAAGAGGTCTACAACAAAAAGAGACAAGACAAAATTGATCCCTCCTGGGATGCATTCTTTACTCTTTTCTGCCAATTCATGTAAATTATTATATTCAATTTGATACATTTATGGTTTATTGAAGAGTTACTATGTGCCGAATGCCCCAGATCACCAAGACAGGCCAGACAAAGCACCTACCCTCAGTGAACTTCCTGACAGGCCAGGAGAGTAGACAGACCGGGTCACTAGCAATGGCAGTTCAACAGTGGTGGCAAATGAACAGAATGCTGAAAGGGTACAAAAGAGGACTGCAGCTCTACTTAGCAAGCAGAAGCAGCAGGCGAAGGTTTTTAAGAAAGACTGAGATTTCATCTGAACCTTGGGAGGATAAATAGGAATAAGCCAGGCAAAAGCACAGAAAAGGCATTCCAGGCAGAGAGAAGAGCATGGAAACTCTGAATACAAGTTATCTCAGTGTGAACTAATTTTGGTAGTTTCTGTGGATGGGAAGAGGATGAGTATAGAAATGGTGCAAAAAATAAGGTCTGAGATATGGTGTGGGGCCAGCAAATGAATGGACTAAGTACTGTGTCAAGAACAATGGACTCTGTCCTAAAGGTGATGGGGAACTACTAAAATTTTAAAGTGGGTTAGTGATACAATCAGATTTGCATTACAGCAAAATCCAAGTCTGTCCTAAAAAGAGATGAACTGGAACAGAAGAGTTTACAGATGAAGATATCAGCTGTCAGGTAAGTGATGATATTAGTCCAAAGGAGGGCTTGACGGAGCTTTAGAAGAAGAGAAGATGGGGAGAGGCATTAAGAGGAAGAACTACAGAACCTGGTGAATGATTGGCTGTGACTGTGACCCAGAGGGGATCTAAGATGACTCTCAGGTAGAGACCTGCTATATTCATGTGTGGTCTGGAGGAAAAAGGAAATGTGGGGCCCTTTGTTCAAATATCACACCTGGAACAGCAGAACATCAAACCAAGTGTGGGTCCCTTTTGAGCTCCCTTAGATAGGTCCAGCTCTCAAGTTTCTAGCTAGGTTAACCAAGGACGGATGGTTGTAGCCGTTTTAATGGTAAATACGACGCAATCCAGTTTTCTACGTTTTTGTGTTTGGGGTGCTTGTGGAAATTTCAGTTCAGGCTGAAGACCTATGTTTAACTCTGGAGTGGAAACGAAGGAATGAACCAGATGGCCCAGTTTGTGTGAAAAGCAAGAACAGAACCTTGGTGGAACCCCCAGAGCATCAACAGGGGATGCAGATAAAAGAAAGAACCATCTAAAACAAGAGCTGAGAAGTCAGGAGGGAAATCAGGGAAGCCAAGGAACAATTTTAATCTCAACAACCCCAAGAAGCTTTGCCTCCTTTTACTTTTACTTATTCCTTTAGATTTTAATTTACTGTTATGATCTGTAGCTTGCCCTCTTAGCTGATTTCTCTGTATTTATTTGGCTGTCTGACTTTAAGCTTCTTGAAGGTGGATTTCCTCTATTTTTTGGGTCCTTTAGAATGACTGTTCCAGTGACATACAAAGCAGTTAAGTTCTCCGAGAACAGAATGCCGGCAACTTGGCTTGCATTTATTTTTTCAGCAATGCTGTAGAAGGAGACTTTTTCAAAGGAAACTCTCATGTCGTAGTTTCGTAAAGGGAAATAACAGTTAAGGGAAAAAGTCACCATGAAAATTATTTTCATTACAACAAAATACTCCAGCAACTCTCGGTATGTGTACGCAACATGCGTATGTGTATGTGTATGTTTAGCTTGCTTTTGGGGGAAAATAGTCTTTTTAAACTACTCGGAGGTACACGTTTACAATTCAGATCAGGAAATACTTGATAAAGCATTAAAAAAAATAATTTTAAACCAAGTGGACGGAGGCAGTTTTAAACTGATGACCCAATCTCCAAAACCAAAGCGGTGGGGAGAAACCCGAGGCCTGCGTCTGAGGGGCGGCAGCACAGGCAGGGGCTGCAGCTGACATCCCGGCAACAGCTGGCGGCTGCCGGCGGGTGTCGGGGCGGCCTCCGGGCTCCGGGGCTCAGGCTATTTTTACCCGCATCTCCGCTGGCCACCGAAGCCGGCACGTCCCCGGCACGTCCTGGCGCAGGCTCCCGGCTGCCACGGCCGCCTCCCTGCCCTTCAGGCGGCGACCCCTCCTCAGCCCCGCCGAGGGGCAGCCGGCCAGACCGAGGGCCGCCGCCTGCTTCCCCTCGGCGACCCGGAGCCCCCGCCCGCGGTGCCGCCCGGCCCTCGCCAGCATCCCCGGCTGCGGACAGCTCCTCCCGCCCGCTCCGCCCCCCCGGAGCCCGGCCCGCGGCGGCCCCCGCACGCCCTCGCGTCCCGGCCTCCGCCGACCCGTCCCACGGCGGTCCCCACCGGCCGGCCGCGGCCTCCCCGGCCCCTCCTGCCCCCGGCTGCAGCATGGCTCCCAGACCTGCTCGGCCGCCGCCGCTGCCGCCGCTGCCGCCATCTTCCCGTGCCCGGCGCCGCCGCCCTCCCCGCCGCGACCGCACCCCGCGCTCCTGCGCCTGCGCCCTGGCCGCGGGGTGGTGGGGGCGGGGGAGGGGGCTCCGCTCGCCGCACCCCCGCCCCTGCAGCGGGGGAAAGTCTCCGAGTCCTCTGGCTGCCCGCGGGCGAGGTCCCCCGCCCCCGCCTCCAGCGCTGTGGGCTCCCGGCGCGCCTTCCCGCGCGGGGGTGTTCACGCGAGCCCCGGCCGCGTCTGGATTCTCCCGAAGGGGCGCTTCAAAGACGACGTCGCCCCTTCCTTCGCCGTCGGTTCCCATCACCGAGGGCTGGCGCGGTCCCGAGCTGTGGCGTCCTCCTTGCATTACGGGCCGGGGTCTCCGTGGCCAGGGTGGGAAGAGGCGTTTTGGAGAACACATGGGGACGAGGGTGGTGACCTGGTGCATGGAAGTCAGTACGTTGCGGATTAGCCAGCTAAAATCTTGGGAAGTGAGAGGGCTCAAGGAGGACGTAAAGTCGCTTTAGGGATGCTTCTTAACTTTGGAGAGCCTGTGAAGTCTGATGCTTTCTTCGGTGATATTAGGGGTGGATTTTCCATTTATTATTGGAGACAGTGTTGTCGGTACACATTGTGGGAAACCCAAGCTAACAAATGCTCACTGCACACCAGAACCCAACGCTGATCTTATTTATTTATTTGTTTGTTTTCAATGCAATGGGTGGGTAGCAACCGAGGTGTAAGAGCTGCTTCTCAGGGAGCTGAAACCACTTCTAGAAAGCATCTTTGGGCCCCAGGGCCGCCTAAGTCAGCAGGAAAGAGCAAAGAGACCAGCTGGCAAAAATGTCCTTTTTCTAGGAACCAGCTCAATTTTGCTTTTTTTGATGACTGGAACTGTTATTTCATGGCTCTGCCTGCTTTCCATCAGAACATGGCTGTGAAGTTTAAATTAGACCATCTGTTGCATAAGAAATCCCTCACAAACTTTCCCCTTCTCTCTGATTTTGGCTAATGTCAGTAGCTCACTGGTCATGAATGTGTTTAGCTTCTTTCCCAAATGCTAGGACTACTGACTCACATCTCTGTGCTCAGTCCTGCTAGGATCTCTAGGACAAACCTGCATCTTAACCAGGATAACTGTAAATTGTAGCACAAAGCGTTGGGAGTCAGCAGTAAGTCTGTTAACACTTTGGCTCTGGTCCCGGGCTTCTGACTGATTCTCCAGTTCTGGTACCATAGGCCTTACTTCCTACGCTTTGCCTCTTTTTCCTCTGCTTGGAAAGAGCTCCTCTTTTTCTCTCTGGCAAGCACACTCTAGCCATCCTCCTAGAATCCATCCAAATGTCACACACTCTCTAAAGCTTTCCCAGGCTCCCACAGGCAGTTTTTAGCTGGTCTGTCCTTGAACTCTGCTTGTCTTTTGTAGCACATCATTGTATTTTATCTTGTTTACCTGTCTATGTCACCTGAAAGATGGTGAGCTCTATCTTAAGGTCCATGTCTTACTTGTCCTTTTACCTGGAACGCCTAGCATAGCACAAACTTCGTAACATCTTAGAAATCTGCCTGATACCCCAGTTTTTAAGACTAGAAGCCCTGCCTTTGTTTTGCTAACTTCTCTTTGACTTAGGTGGTGAGATACCTGGTAATTGATTTTCTTGATGCCAAATGCCCCTTTGACTATCTGAAAAGTCACCTTCTCTTGGGAGCCCTCACTGCTGACGTCCATCTCTCTGACAGGTCACCTCCCCGTTCGTGTCTGTTGCTATAGTCTGAGCACGCATTATACTCACATAACCCCATCTTTAATGTGGGTCATTTCCAAATGTGTTATCTTTAAGCTTTTTTTAAAATAGTAGGGTCTACTGTACACCTGGGAATGAGTCTTTAATTTCCCTGCCAGTTTTATAATAGGTCATATTATCCCCATTTTAAAAATAAAGAAATCAAGACTCTCAGAGGTTAAAAACCTAAGTTTTCAACTAATATAGAGCCTGGATTGAACCCAGTTTCTTCTGGCTAAAGTTTTTGCTCTTTCTACAACATAACACAGTCTTCAATTCTGCATTTCCTTTTGCTTTTGGAAGTGCAAACCAAGGCTAGAGTACTAGTCAGTTGAGGAAGACAGTTATCCTTCATTGAATAGTGTCCCCCCACCAAAATATATCCAAGTCCTAGTCACCAGTACCTGCGAATGTGATATTACTTAGAAATAGGCTTTTCAAAATAGGGTTTTGAGAACAGGGTTTTAACTTATATAAATAAGTTAAGGATCTCAAGAGAGATCACCCTGGATTTGGGTTAGGCTCTAAATCTCATGACTGGTGTCCTTAAAAGAGAAGGAGAGGACAAAGACACGCAGAGGAGAAGGCAATGTGAAGACAGAGGCAGCGAATGAAGTAATGTTTCTACAAGGCAAGAAATGCCACGATTTGTCACCAGAGGCTAGGAGAGAGGCATGGATCAGCTTCTCCCTCAAAGCTTCCAGAAGGAACCAACCCTAATGATTTTCTGAATTCTAGCCTTCAGAACTCTGAGAAAATAAATTTCTGATGTTTGAAGGGACTATATTTGTTATACTAGCCCTTAGGAAATTAACACACACTTCAAGCCCAACACATCAAAAAACTGGGACTTAAAATCCTTCTCCCCAATCTGCTCTTTGCATGTTCCCATAGTAAATGATACCATCATCCGGCCAGCAACCTTCAGAGTTATTCTATACTCTTTGTGGTGTGACCTTCCTAAAATACAAACCCAATCATGACACTCTTCATCCTGAACTTGAAAATCCTCCAATAACTTTTGCAATGAAAATTCTTTATATTAACGCATAAAGTTCTATATTTTCTGGTCCCCATCTCCCTCTTTTTAGCCTAATTCCTGCCTCTTCCACAAACTATTCCTACACTTCAGCTGTGTGTCTAATTTGCAGTTCTCAACTGTTTGCTTGAATGTATCAAGTTCTTAATGTCTTGGTGCTTTGCAGATGTGGCTATTTCTGTATTTTATCTAGCAATTCTCCTACTTGGCCACCAAAACTCAGCTCAAGGAATCTCTCTTCTGGAAAGCCCTTCTTAATTTTTTTCCTCATCAGCAATTTCTGATTTCTGTGGCCCTCAGTAATTGTTATTGTCCTGATTTGCTATGATGACCCTTTGATACTTAATAATACACGATCTTGTGTTATTTTACTTTTCCTGCATGTATAGCTTGCTCCAGAGTAGACCATAAATTCGTTACAAAACAGAGGCAATGTATTACTCTTAGGGTCTGTGATCAAAGGAACGAGACCGACACAAAGCGAAAGACAAGCAAAGCTTTATTTCGCGACTCCCCTGCGGTGACGCCCCCGACACCCCATGCTATCACTACTCCTCCCCTGCCTCACAGACTAACCTTTATAGAGGTGGTTGAGCCCGGCCCACACACAGGTGGCCAATGAGATTGCAACACACAGGGAAAACTGCACAGTCATGCTCGGTCAGCAATACGGGTGGCCAATTGAATTCCAACTCACCATAGCAAATATATGTGCGCCCCACTGATTGGATGTCTCCATCCAACCTGGCCTGCCCCCATATCCGGGGCCTGCAAGCAAGTTCCTCTGGGAGGGGCAGGGTCAACCCAAGCCCACAAGGAAAGGGCTCCCTCTGGCCAACGAGGCCCTTACATTACTACTTCTATGCTCCTGAACATACTAGGAAGTAAGTAAATAATAGGTACTTAATAACTGATGAATATTGGATTAATTTTCTTCTATTGGGTAAAAAAATATTACTAACATCTGAGTGTCTCTGACATATGTCCACTTTAATGCTCACCATGCATTGCTCCAGAGAAGAACCTTATTAACTCTCAAATCTGTGTCCCGTTAAGTGCTCTTGCTGGGTCCAGCACTCCTCCAAATTTCACCTCTTGGAGCACCAACACAATATAAAAAAGAGACTCAAACATATCATTTTTTCTGTTTATAGCTCTTTGCTGCTTCCCCATTGCCTACAAAGTCATGATCAACTTCTTCAGCCTGCTCTACAAGACTTATCACAGTTGAACCCAGGATTATCTTCACAGTCTTGTCTCTGATTCCCCAAGTTTCCTAAAGCCACCCTGGACTAGCATTCATCATTTCCCTCCTGTCCATGCAATTTCATGCCTCTTCGCTACTGTCCATTCTGTTCCATCATCTCTTCTCTCCCTGGTGAAACTCCTCTCTATCCATCCAGATCTGGCTCTAAATGGCACTCTCTTCTACAACTTCCTTTGATCTTTTCTTCAGGGAGCTGGAGGAGGAAGTAAGGGAAGGGTTGGTTAGTGTTTCCATAGAATTTTATGTTTACTATTGTAACTTGTCACATTGATCTGTGGTTAGGTCTCTTTATTCTGAATAGATTGTGAGATGCTAGGGAGCAGAGACCAAGTCTAATCCTGCCTTATGATTAAGGCAGATGTTTCTGTCACCTAGCAATTCAGTCGATGTTTATCAGATGTGATGAAAAAACCTGTTTCAACACCCTTCATTTTAGGGACTGCCATCATGCAGTCCTAGGTCCTCTCCTGGGATGTTTAAGGAGATCTTACAGTGTAGATCACACTCCATGTACACTGCAACACCTTCAAGTATCCTAAGAGCACCCCTTCGATGGCCATTTTCAGAGCCAAGTATCTGCCATTGCATTTAGCTAGTGAGCTGAAAACATGGAGGGCAGGGATGCCTCAATATTCCATCACAATGGTGATGGAAACCTGGGTTGCGACAGGAGGGGTACCTGTAACTCTCAAAAGTCACACTAAATTGCCCCCCCCTTTCCAGTTGTATTTGCTACAAAAGGTCTATAGTTTGTTTAGGTGCTAAGGTGATACAGTTGTGATATATGAAAATTTTCCTCTTGTTTCTGTCATTTAACCAATAAAGGGCATGAAATACTTTGACAGAAACATTCTGAACTGTTGCTGTGAGCAGGGAATGCTTATTGGCACGACACAGCAGACAGCATCCCTGCTTCTGTGCAGTGGGGGAACCTGCCTTCAGCTCAGATCCCAACCAGTTGGTTCTTTCTTCAAGGGTGGAGGATTTTTTTCTCCCTTTAAAATCATTTAAAATCTTTCCCTGCAATGTAGCAGAAAACAAAAAGGACCCAGTGAAGTTGCTAAAATGAGTACATGGAGTCTCTGACTAGAGAACATGAAGTACATGCACAAATGAGCATTTTGCTCCCCGTGAATGGAGACAGAGCATCCCGGCAAGATCACCAATGAAACTGGGTTTAAAGGAAGCTTCATTCAAGTGGGCGAGAAAAGGTTAAAAGATTTTCTTCAGATGGCACCAGGCCCTACCCTAAAGAAGCAATTGGACAGAATAGCACAGCATACCTGTAAAAGCATCCAGGCCACAGCTGGGCAGAACATTCTTTCAGCCACACTGGCTAAGGGTGGGGGGGTGGGCAACTGTCCTTAGTGAGGAACTGAAAATGATGACGAGGATGCCACTGTATATCCTTGCATGTGTTTATGCTTAGTGCAGCCTGGAACTCCACACCAACACACCTCTCACTACACTGAGTGGCTTCAGTGAACCTCTCAGTGGCTTCTTAAAATCCCCAGATGAAAATCTCCCCAGTTGAGGGATGCATGTAAACTTTAGAGTTAAGGACTCTACAAGTCAGGACTTTTCCTATTCCATCGAGATGTCTGTCACCTGACACTTCTCTAGAACGAGTGGCTCCTGGCTGGGTGGCAGAATTATGATGCCATCAGAACCGCCAGCTGGCTATCAAAACTTTGCTTTCTTTTGCCTCAACAGGATTATGACATCAGATATAAAGCAGCCAATGGGCTCCTCCCTCCCTCCCTTCTTTCCTTTTTTCTTTCACTTTTTATTAACAGTTTGGTTCAGCAAACTTTTTTTATTTTTTTAAGATTTTATTTATTTGGCAGAGAGAGGGAGAACAAGCAGAGGGAGCTTTACAGAGGGAGAGGGAGAAGCAGACTCCATGCTGAGCAGGGAGCCCAGTGCAGGGCCTGATCCCAGGACCCTGGGATCATGACTAGAGCCAAAGGCAGATGCTTAACCAACTGAGCCACCCAGGCACTTCAAGTTCAACAAGCTTTTAAACCTCTTGTCCCTTTCTTCAAGAAGCTCATACAGGAGGCAGACAAATAAGTTTAATGTCCTGTGATAACTGCAACAGTATCAGCATGTCCAAAAGTGAAAGAAAATAAGCATAAAGAAGAGTGGGGATGAGCTCTGAGAGCCTGGGGGGAGTTGGGAAGATTTTGTCAGTTTCAGCTGGTTTAAATTAATTTAAAGTGCAACTACAAAGAAAACACTTGCTTATTTCCTGGAGGCTAGGTGCATTAGTTATTCTGGCAAGGCTGCAGAATAAATTGTACTCAAGAAAAATGTTCAGCTTTTGGTGATTGACTAATGCTCTCAGAATCAAGACTTGACCTAAACTGAACTGTGAACCAAAAATTGAAAATAAGGTGATGGTTGGGAAATAAATTGAAACAAAGGGCAAGATTTGCTCAATCTGAGCCATAACCAGTATGTTAAAAGAAACAAGCAAGAAGCATTAAAAAGCATTAAAGGATGTCAGAACTGCAAGAGATCTTAGAGCTGATCTAATCTATGTTTTTCATTATGTAGGTGGAAAAAAACTGAAGTTCAGGGTCATTAAAGACCTATGTAAAGTCACAAGAAACCACTGATTGGCAGAGGGTGAGATAAAACAAGAGTGTGCAACATGATCCGACTTTATTCTTTCAACTTTTTCAACATACCACAAAAGAAAAAACTGATTTTCTCTTTTCTTTACAAATAATTGCCAAGTGATTAGATCCTAAAATAATCAAATTGAGACAAAATTAAAGTGCTGTTCAAATAGAGCTTTTACTAATCTGATGTTTTCTTCTATATGTATAAAAAAGTAGGCTTTAAAAATAGAATCTCAACCTTGTTGCCTGCACGCTTGTAATATGAAACATATGGATTCTTCTTTCATCAGCAACACAGACCATTTTGCACTCCAGGCTCCAGCTCTCTCTTAAATTGATTGCTATCTAGCACTCATCAAATCTCTGTGGAGGGGATCATTATGAAGGGTACTTATGAGGATGTCCACTTATTCCTACAGGTATGGAAGTTCTAAGCTTGTATCAGGCAACATCACCAGAGAGCTAAGAAATGGCATGTCAGTTTCTTGGCCCTCTCTTTGATGACATGAGTTCTAGTGTTACCCCCTTGGCATTGATGGAAGCTGACTACAGGAAAAAATCATATCAAGATTGTTTCTATATATATATATATATATATATATTTTAATAGGAGGTCTTAAAGACACCATCATCTGTGTTGTTCTAGGCTCTTTGGAAAAAGATAAACATATTTTGTAATTGGTAGCAGGAAAATGTGTTTCACTCAAAGAAGTGGTATGTATACTTTTAAACTCAAGTAATAATAATCATAAAAGTCATTTTCCTTTCTGTGTTGGCTTACAAACTACAGATTCAATGTTAAATGAAGCTCAATTTCATACATAAGCTTAAATTGGGGGTATACTTGCTTTTTCCACTAAAAAAATATTTCTAATCTAACAATGATATTTTCTACAAGGCTCTTACTGTAAGTTATCTCAGGTCTTCTTTTGGAAGTAGTGGGGAGAAAATAATGAATAAATACATAGAACACTTCCTTTGTTTTGAGTCATTGATGACAATGCTGGTTTGTTATTGATAAACGTGAGGTTCCTGCTATACACAGCACACACTTCGGAGTTCTGGGGACATCAGGAGGTACCGGAAATGACTGTAGGCCATTAGGGTTTTGAATCCAGCTGTGGGACTTGAGCATATGTAGAGATAAACAATATCAGGTAGCAAATTCTAAAGTAATTTCAAAGATCCATTCTATCCTAAGACTCTAAGACTATTACATTAGTAATTTGGACATTTGGTCAAAGCACATTTTGTTTTGAGTCCGCTTAATATTGTTATTTTGGCTAACACTTTTCCTGAAGGTAACTCTTTGGGTAACTCTGCTTCTGAATGAGTTTTCAAAAAAGGAATCAGCGTTCATGGTAGAAATTTGGAAAATCAAAAAAGTGTAAAGGAGCAAACTAAACTAGTGTATAATCACGCTTTGGGTTGATATTGTATAATATAACTCAACGTAGATTATTCAGTGTCCCTGCTTTTTCCCCTTAACTTTATGCAGTGAGAATCCTAGACAACAGATAGTCTTCAGTGACAGGATTTCTATTGTGCAACATTTCACTGAAGGACTTGCTCAACCTTCACCCTGTGGTGGGAGATTAGATTGTTTCCAGCCTTGTTATCTCTACTAAATGTACTGTGATCCACATTGTAGTAATAATGATCAGGCGTTTGTGAAGCACTGTGCCAAGTGCTGTGTTAAGAACGCCATATGAGAGGCGCCTGGGTGGTTCAGTGGGTTAAGCATCTGCCTTCATCTCAGGTCACTATCTCAGGGTCCTGGGATCCAAACCCGCATCGGGCTCTCTGCTTAGCAGGAAGCCTGCTTTCCTCCCACCTCAAGGGCTGCTCTGCCTGCTTGTGATCTCTCTCTGTCAAATCAATAATTGGAATCTTAAAAAAAAAAAAAAAGGAGAATGCCATACTAATTTTTTAGTTTAGTCTCATAATAATCCTGTGATGTAAGAACTATTGTCTCTTGTTTATAGATGGAGTAACCAAGGAGTAGCAGTTACAGAGTCCACAGCAAAGAGGATTTAACCCCTAATCTAACATAAGCAAATATTCCAACTTGTTTTTTATGGATAAGTAAATAGGACTGATCAAAGACTCCAACTGCCTATTGAAATATGCAATTATTGGCTCTCAATTAAAAAATCTGTGGGATTTTTCTCCATTCCCTTCCTTCCTCTTTACACATTTTTTAAAGGAAGAAAGTGTCTAATGAATACTTAGTGGGTTTTTTTATTTTGCTTTTTCTTTTCTTTTACTTTAGTAATTATTACACTACTCTAATAAAATATGTTATGTACCCTTATGGTCCTTATTGTTCCTTTTGTTGTTATTGAGATCTAAATGACACATAATATTATATTAGTTTCGTGTGTACGATGTAATGATTCAGGATTTGCATATGTTGTGAAGTGACCAACACAATAAATCTAGTTAGCATCCATCACTACACATGGTCACAATTTTTTTTTCTTGTGATGAGAACTTCTATAGTTCTTATTTTGTAGCCTACAGAAGATAGTAGCAACGCAGGCTCCAGAAATGAGCCTCTCATTTTCATTGGAGGACAGAAAACCACCATAATTAAGAGAAACAACCTCTGAATATTACCATAGATTACCATATATTAGATAATACTACCATATTTGGAAATGTACAAAGTTCATATATTTTCAAGTTCCTAAAGAAGCGGCACTGAAATAAACTAGCTACCTGGCTCGCTGAGGCCGGGCTCCACTCCTGCTGTTAACGACTAGATAAGAATGATCTGCAATCAGCTCATCATTTGATGCATATAAAATAAGGGCTTCTAAAGTGCTTCATGATGGTTGAAATTGTTTCATTTCTTAAGCAGTTGAAACCATCCCCGTAGCTTCACGCACCCTTTTGAAATAGTGCCAACCGCGGCCTGAACTTTCACCAAGTTTCAGTTAGAGAATGAGACTTGAACGAAACTTCAGAGTGCTCGGTGATTCTAAAACTACACCCAGCCGCTGCCTTCGGCTCAGGTCATGATCTCAGGGTCTTGGGATCGAGCCCCGCATGGGGCTCTCTGCTCAGCAGAGCCTGCCCCCCCCCCCCCCGCCCCCGCCCCCGGGCGCCTGCCTCTCTGCCTACTTGTGATCTCTGTCAAATAAATTTTTAAAAATCTTAAAACAACAACAACAACAACAACACTATATCGAACCTTGTCTAAGCCCGAGGATTAACTCGGGTTTGCGAACGCCCGGGAGCTTCCGATCTCCCGACTTGGGCGCCCACCAACTCCTCGGTGCTGCAAATGAAGCCCTGCAGGTCTGAGAAGTTAACGCATCCAGGGAGGCGCCGTTAGACGCTTACCTACTGCCTAACCCAACTGTCCGTGGAGAAACCACCTTCGCTTTTCCCGGCGAGAGGCCGCGGGATGCCCCCATCCCACAGGGCGGGCGAGTCGCGGTCCTTCAAGGGATGGGGCAGCCGCCCTCGCTGGTCTGCGCCCCTCCCGCCCCAGGCCCCATCCCGAGCGTCAGGGGTCTTGGGCGGCCTCGCCTTCCGCCAGCAGGAGCAGCAGCAGCAGCAGCAGCAGCACGAGCAGGAGCAGGAGCGGCTCCAGGGCGCGCCCGGGCGGGTGCCCGGCCCCGGGGGCGGCGGGTGGCGGCGGCAGCGGGGGCGGGCGGCAGAAGCCGGCGTTGCCAGGGCGCGCGCGGTGAGCGTCCCTAGCAGCCGCCCGCCCACGTCAAGGTTTGTTTAATAATCGCCGCCGTATTTATGGCGGGGGCTGCGCGCGGCCGCGGGGGAGCGAGAGACCGCGCCGGGCGGCGGATGAGGCGCGGCGGCTGCGGCCCAGGGCACCTCCCCGCCCCGCGGCTTGCCGAACCCTGCCGGCTCTGACCCGAGGCGGAGGATGGCAGCAGCAGCCGCGCTCTGAGCCCCTCCGGAGAAGAACACCCTTCCCGCCGCATCGCCCCAGGGTCCCGCGGAGGCCGCCGCCTCGTCCCCTCCACGTCTCCATCTCCCAGAGCGCGGCCCAGCGGAAAAGTGAGCGATGGCAGAAAACCTGAGGAAACTGGTCTCGAGCGAAACTTTGCGACTGATGCACGACAAGCTAGACGGCTGGCTGAGGGAGTACAACGTGAGTCCGGGTGGGACAGCCCCGGGCTCGCCGTCGCTTTAGCTCCTGGCACAGCCCTCTCAGCGCTGGCTCGGGGCGGTCGCTTGGCAAAGCCCGGGCGGGCGAGATTCCTCATTAGGACCGCGTCTCGAACCCGGATCGTGGGGGAGGGAGGAAGGGCAAGGGCCTGCCGGTGCAGTTTTCTCCTCTCTGCGCCAGGGGGCGCTGGGGGGACGGGGCTCGCGGAGTGCAGACTCGGAGTCCGCGCGGACAGAGCGCCTGCGTCCCAGCGGTAACCAAGGACGCTGGCGGCCCTAGCAACGGCAAAGACCACAGTCCGCCAGGGCTCCAGCCTGTGGCTTTCCCTCCTATCCCCTCCGTTAGCAACCCACATCCCTATCCCTCACTCGATTTTTTTTTTTTTTAACCTACACCCCTGGTCGTGCCTCTCCTCACGTCTCAGGATACTCAGGGATTGTATCACAATGAATTTTTATAAAAAGACTCCCAGGAGTTATTACTCAGATGTCAGTGAGATGGACACTTGTCAACGTTGCGGGTTTCACTTGTGTGCTGGTCAGCATGGCAAGTAGGCACAATTCCACACCAAGGCAGAGAATTCAGGAGGCCTGTTACCAAGGCATTTGTAGGAAGCCATTATTCTGTCATCAAACCCGTAGAGCTCCTCAAGTCTCATTAATCCCCACTCCCACTCCGGCTCGCGTTAGCCCCGCACATTAAGTACAACTCGGTGTTGCATTTGCTGGGTTTGATCTGTCCGTCTTAAATAGGAGGGTCCCACTCATGAAGTGGAACAGTGAGACAGACAGAGCTGGGCATGCGTGGACCTGGAATGAGCCCGGGTTCTGGGTCTGGCTCTAGATAGTACCAGCTGAATTCCCTGGGGGAGTTTATTTCACCTCTGTGGGTCTCAGTACCTCTTCTGCTAAATAGGACAGATTCACTCAACCAGATCTCAGGTTTTTTTTGGAATTTAAATTGGCTCGTTTCTGAAATCCTACCAGGAAGAACGCAACTGGATGCTGTCTGAGTCTCTAGGCTTTCCCATTCACCCTTTGACCAGGGCTCCTGTGGTGGAGGAAAACTCAAAGAACACTCACAACTTTCTCCTTGCCCACTGTGTAGTGTTCACTGTTTACTATCTTTGCCCACCTTTAAAGAATGAGCACTGTGACTATTCCTTCCCCATCAAGATTGCAGGAAAATTCAAATTTACCTCTTCCTACCTCTTACAGCCTATTCTGTCTTCCTTTTCCCCTTCCCCCATTCCTTCCTTCCTTCCTCCCACCCCACCCTCTTCCTTTCATTATTACACCCTTGGCCTAAATAAACTCTGAATGTTAAAAGGGATATTTAGTTTGGGGGTGCCTGACTGGCTCAGTTGGTAGAACGTGGGACTCATTATTTAGGGATTGTAAGTTTGAGCCCCATGTTGGCTGTAGAGAGGACTTAAAAAAATATATATGTATATATATATATATATATATATATATATACATATATATATATTTTTTTACAAAATATATATTCAGTTTGTCACAAGACAGTGTTTAACACAAATCACACTAACATTTGACTGGAGCAAGTATAATAATATTAAGAAATGCCAAAGTTTATTACACTTTCCTTTCTCAGTAACGGTAGCCCCCCCGCTCCTCTATTGTCACTGAAATCATTCCAATCTAGATTCTCTCCCCCATGCTAAGCTCTTCCCCCACCTTCATAGAAACTGCCGTCTTGGAGACCAATGCCTTTCCAAAAAAATCTGTGGCCATTTCTCCATGCAATCATTTTCTTGGACTATCTAGTGTTTCTGTTGCCTTTGACTGTTGACATCTCTATTCTTCTAAGGCTCAAATAATTGGTCTCCTTGCCTTACCCACTTTCCTCCTATGGCAGTTCTTTAAGACTTTAGGAATCTTCTCTGGGGCCTCCATTCTTGCTTCTCTCTTACACATATGTCCACGAATCTCATATCTATATTCAGGACCTTTTCTCATTTCTCTGGTTGCCCATTAGACATTTTTAGTTGTACTATCATCATCTTGAAGTCAAATCAGTCTAAAACCTACCTTAGCTATGCCCGTGCCGTGAACACTGGCCTCCTTCTTTCCTTCACTGTTTTCAGCATGACACACCCCACAATCTTTTCACCAGCTGAATCTGTTGGTACCTACTTCCAAATTCACACAGAACCCTTTCACCACCTATGCTGTAACCATCCTTGTCCATCTTCCATCATTATTCATCTAGATATAAACATATCTCAGAGAGATTGTTCTAAATGTCAAGTGAGATCAAGTTACTTCTCTGATAGAGTCCTCAGACTTCTGTCCCACTCAGAATAAAAGCCAAAGTTCCTACAATGGCCATTAAAGTCCTACACAATTGTGCTCCTTTAAACTTTGACCTCATCTGTTAATCCCTTCCTCAATCTATTCTAGCAATACTGATCTAGTTGCTGTTTCTAGAGCAAAGCTATCCAGTAGAACTTTCTATGACGGACTTGTTCTATACAGGCATTGTCCAATATGGTGGCTATTTGGTACTTGAATTGTGGTAAGTACAAACTGAGAAATGAAGTTTAAATTTTAAATTTATTTATTTTTAAAGATTTTATTTGTTTATTTGACAGAGAGAGATCACAAGGAGGCAGAGAGGCAGGCAGAGAGCGGGGGTGGGGGTGGGAAGCAGGCTCCCTGCTGAGCAGAGAGCCCGATTCAGGGCTCTATCCCAGGACCCTGGGATCACAACCGGAGCCGAAGGTAGAGGCCCAACCCACTGAGCTACCCAAGCGCCCCTAAATTTAAAATTTAAATGAATTTTAAATTTCATTTAAATTAAAAAAATTAAAATTCATTTAAGTTTAAATAATTTAAATTTAAATAGTCCCATATGACTAGTGGTTACTCTATTGGGCAGAAGAGTCTAGAGCCCATCAGCTGGTCTCATGCTTCAGGGCATTTTCACTTCCTGTTCCTCTCTGCCTGGAAAACTTTTGCCTGTGGGTATTTCAGTAAGCTACCTACAAGCTTTGCTTTCTATCCTCCTTCAAGTCTGCTTAAATGTCACCTTCTCAGGAGAGACCATCCTGTTCACAACTGCCATCTCCTACCCCTGCCCCTGGCACACTGTGTCCCTTTTCTGCTTTGTTTCTTCTGTAATAAATGCATCTTCTTATTTTTACTCATTCTTTTATTTTATTGTCAATCTTTCCTCCCCCTCTTCCCACTAAAATGTAAGCTCCAGAGGCCAGAGAGTTCTCCCTTTTCTGCTTATCTCTGTATTTCCAGCACTTAGAATAATGCGTGCCTCCCAGAAATTGTTCAATTAAATAATGACTGACTGAATGCCACCACCATTCTCCCACACACCTGGGTTCTGGGACACATTTGTCTTCTTAAAACCTCATATCCAGTGTAGAATTAAAGGTGATCCCCAAATATCTTTAATTCAGCCTTTATTAAAATTGATTTGAAACCAAAGCCATGATTTCCAAGTAGGGGCACAATTGAGAGGGTACAAGCGTTTTTAATTGTGTGTGTGTGTTCTGTATGTATGTGTAGCTAAAGAGAGAGGATAAGAAAATATGTATATACACCTACCAAAATTAAGTTTACCTCTAGACTTTTTCAGTAGCTTGTCGCCTACAGGGTGGGTTTTGGTCAATGGCCTAGAGGTTCTCTGTAATACAGCAAGTTTGTTTTAATAGTTCCGAGGACTTTTTCCTTGAAACCTTAAGATGAAGAGTAGTCGTTGTAGCAAACTATGTTTATTAAAATGTTGGCTATAGAGGTTTATTCATTAAAAGCTTTAAATTATATTTGCTATGGAAAGTTGATTTTGCTGACTGTGACCACATTGATTTAGTTCTAGTTAACTCAAGCAAAATAGAAGACCATAAATACCACTCTAGAATTAAGAATGTGATTAAAGTTATCCCCTTGGGAAAAAGTTATTTTCAGTGAAAAAGATCAATGATTTGAACAGATTAGTTCTAAAACACAATGCAAAATTTTCCTTTTCCTTTAAACTAGTCATTATTGGGATTAATAGATCTTAGTTAATTTTTTTTATTTCTCTTAATTTCCTTCATAGGGCTTCCCATTTCCTCTGCCTTAATCTGTCCACCAACACTCTTTTCCTTGTGTCCTATGTATGTTGTCAGACATAGTAAATTTTTTAAAAAATGTAATTTTCTGCCCCAAAGCCTTTGTTTTTTATTTGTTGGCTAGTTTTTAATCCTACAACATCTAGCAATCTTCTGGGCCCTACACAAAACCACTACTTGCTTGATTTTATAAAAAAGATTTATTTATTTAAAATGACTCCAAGAAGGGATATTTTTCCAAACCCCTCTAGAGAAACACAATAAAAACAAAAGCAAACATTGCAAATTCACTTTCTTTTAGTTATTAAAGAAAAGCTGAAGTATTGTATTACTTGGTCTTTAAACCTTGGATTGCATTGGCTGTTCAAGGACAGCTTGGTACAAACATGTAACTTTCAGAATTGTTTTTCCTCCTGTGTGGTTACTGAGAATGTTGACGAAAGAGCCATAGAAAATCTCTTCTTGTTCAACCAAGAACTGAGCCAGTTATTAAGGGCTTAATAATTTATTCAATAAACGGTTACTTAACTTCTGCTTTGTGTGAAGCTTTGGCCTAGACACTCTATATGTACACTTTTGGCAGTGTACCTTTATTATTTTTTTTGAAGATTTTCATTTATTTATTTGACAGACAGAGATCACAAGTAGGCAGAGAGGCAGGCAGAGAGAGAGGGGGAAGCAGGCTCCCCGCTGAGCAGAGAGCCCGATGTGGGGCTCGATCCCAGCACCTTGGGATCACCACCCGAGCTGAAGGTAGAGGCCTTAACCCACTGAGCCACCCAGGTGCCCACTTTTGGCAATGTACCTTTACTGATTAACTAATTCATTCAACAAAATATTTTTGCAGAGTTTATGATATGTCTCTCTGTGCTAGATGCTGGGAATGGAA